AAAAGGCCCAACTTGTCTTGGAAACAGGTGTAGGAGAGCAGCAGTACGCAGTACGTAAACCAGCGCACAATGTCCATCCAGGTCCAAACCGAGTGACGTCTTGCATTACGATGGTGCTGCCGACGCCAACTCCGCCTGGAAACGTTGGGCGCCCAGCGTCCAAAACTTCGGCTCTCGCCACAATTGGATTGTGTTAGGTACGTGACAGCAACACCCCTCAAAATCAGAGCGTGTGTGTGAACCTCACTGTGAGAGTCCTAGCAAGTACTACATGCTCGATTGGAGTTTTCACGCTGCCCACTTGCTAACTATTCCTTTCTAGAATCGCTCCCACCACTAGTTTGGAGTTGCTCATTTGGAGTTTTTCCCTAAAAATATTGGGACGTACGCACGCACCTACGTACGTAGTAACCTTTCTTTTTGAGGATATAAGTAACTTGGATTTATTGCCATTGATCCTCCCGCGACTAGCCACAGTGGTACTCCCTCCGTTTTTATTTAGTTCGTATATTAGTTTTGGTCAAAGTCAATCTTTACAAACTTTGACCAAGTTTATATACAAAAATATTAAGATATACAATAACAAATCAACAACATTAGATTTATTATTAAATGTACTTTCACATCGTATAGATTTATTATGATAGATGTCTATATTGTTTACTATAAACTTGGTTAAACTTGACGAAGTTTGACTTCAGTCAACTCTAATATGCAGAGTAAATAAAAACGGAGGAAGTAGTAACTTCAGCAGTAACATCGAGTCCAACTCAGCAAATTTGCTTATGTGGCAATGAATTAATGAGGAGAGAGGTAATTGTAGTAACTTAGCTAGTTACTGTAACATCACATGTCCCAATGCAATATGAGTCTATAACATAATAAATGAATCTTTGCATGTTACCACACTTAAGTTACTACCCACTATGAAGGTAGTAATATAGTCTAGGGATATGTGTATGTTACTAGTGCATGTTACTCTCCATTATGACTAGTCTAAGGGCATCTACAAACTGGCGCTGCAAACCCTTCTCAAACACCCGGACGGCCCGCCCGGTCACTGATCGGTCACGATTTTTAGCTTAGACAGACGCATCAAATGGTCCTTAAACGTCCAAGCTGACTCGCACCCCTCATGTCAAGCCCAAATATGAGGCGGATATGGGAGCGCCCGGGCACGTCCGCCATGTCGGACTGACGGCGGGGTCTCACGCGGAAACGCCCAGAAACTCGGCGGTCCGAAGCTCATCTTCTCCGTCGGACCAGTGCTACCACGTGGCGCCACTTCAGCGGGCAGCATAGTGCCTAGCCCGGCTATGTATGTCAACCGGCAGCACTGGAACCCTATCATCCACATTTTCCTTCGCCCGTCCTCCTCCGCCGCCGCCACTTCCACTCTCCCCGTCCGCCTAGTAGCCATGCCCCCCACGGCGCAGACCGCGGAGGAGGCGGAGATGCTCACCTACATGGATGAGGTCGAGCAGGAGGAGGATGAGCCAGAGCCCTTCTATTCGCCCGTCCAGCAGGCGCCCGACACCGTCGCCCTGGACATCTCCGACGACGAAAATTAGTTAGGGTAGTACGTAGGATTTTTTTTGCATGCTTTGTATGGATCTAGGGGCTGAAATATGAGAAACTCGGATACAGAGTGACTAATTTGAGGCGTGGCCGGTCACTGTCTATGAATATGCCTGGTCGCGTCCACATGCGTTGGAAGGACTGAATTTGCAAAGTCCGGCTGTAGATGCTCTAACATCCCCACCAGTCTATACGGTTCTAGAGTTACGGCAGGGGGACCCGTTATCATTATATCTTTTCCTCCTTTGTGCTCAAGGCCTCACGTCACTACAGGGGATCGGGTGAGTATCCATGCACCACGGGCAATCATTTATTACTCGTTGACAATAGCGTCATCTTTCTCGGTGCCAAAGCCCAAAGTGGAGAGAGACTCAATCACATTCTTTGGATTTAAGCCGATTGCTCCGGGCAGGCAGTGAACCGAGAAAAGATTCCAGGTTTCTTCAATGCAAACACAGGTCAAGCCCTTCGAGAGGTTCTAAAAACTATTCTCAGGCATAATTTAAAAAACCAAACCGATAATCGAACTGGTAAGGTTGTCGGTTCAGGCTTTCACCCGTCGGACCGTCGGTTCACCGGTTCGATTCTTGATTTTTGAAGCAATAAAATACTATATATTTTATCAATAAATACACCAATCAATAGATAAGAAATTATTTAATCAGACTGTCAGGCGTCCTGGTCCTCCTGCTCGGGTGCTCATAGTCTGGACTCTGGAACGGAGGGAGGCAGCCGAAGGGAGGACTGGTTGAATTGACTGGAGCGGAGGAAGGGAGTGGCGGCGTGGGCTAGTGGCCTACTACTGCCATGTGGAGCGGTGAGGGAGACGTGGCTCGCCGCACCACTGCGCTCGGCAAGGGTCGCGTCAGAGGAGGGCGACTACGCTCGACGGGGTTTGCCTGGGATCAAAATCAAGAGAAAGGCTCCCAAATTGGCCGGAAGCCTACCAAAACAAGGTTTTCTTCCTTTTCGATTCTACCCCCAGCCTATTTGCACGAAAACGATTTGATTGAGGGGCTTTTTAGGAAACGACATCGAACTATCTGGTTTTCTATAAACAGACCGTTTTGCCGTTTTTTAGAAAAACTGGCCGGTTCGACCGGATTTTTCCGATTCGATTGTTCGAACGGTCCGCTGTGCTTAAAAACCCGTTGGGATCATCGGTTTTGTTTTTTTGGTCCGACGGCCGGTTTTGTCCGATTTTTTAAACTATGCTCTCGGGATATCGGTGGAGGCATTCTCTGAACACTACTTGGGCCTGCCTACTGCCATTGGAAGAATCACAAGTGGTACGTTCAGTCACATTGGTGAACAAAACGGAAGTAAGGTTCGGGGTTGGTCTGAGAAATTTTTACATTTAGTATGAGCTGTTTCCAACTGCAGGCCGCGAGGTTTTGTTGAAATTAGTTGCCCATGCAATTCCTACATATACTGAGAAAAAGGTTTGCAAAGATGTTTCAACATCAATGGCAAAGTATTGATGGGGTAGCTATCTGGATAAGTGATCTCTGCATTGGCTTTCCTTGGAGAAACTCGCATCTCCAAAAGTGAAATGGGGATGGGTTTTAGGGATCTCCCTTCATTCATTCTTGCCATTCTAGGTAAGCAAGGTTGGTGCCTGTTGACCCACCCTGACTCCCTTTGTGCAAGAGTTCTGAAGGGCAAGTACTATCCACATACAAAGTTTTTACACGCCACAGCTCCTGCATGAGTGTCGTCCACCTGGAAGGCGATTATCGTGGGCAAGAAGGCCCTGAACGTCGGCTTGATATGGTCGGCGATGGTTCGGGCATCTCTAAAACCTATGGGGCATCTAGGTACTGCACCTTTACCCAAAGTTTCAGACTTATCAATGAGTACACATGTAGTTGGAATATTGAGCTAGTTCATCAGAACTTTCTACACCCCGATGCAAAAGCCATATTGAACATACCTCTTAATCCATTTGGGGAAGAAGATAGCCTAACATGGGCAAAAGTGAGGCAACTATACTGTAAAGTCAGTGTACCGATCTCTCATGACTCGTAATAAGCTGAGCTCTCTAGAGGAAGGGACGATTACAGAAACTTCAATGACAAATAAACAGTTGTGGTCTGCATTTTGGAAACTGAATGTCATATGGCGGGTGCTCCGCGACATATTACCGGACTCCAAAACATTGAAGTATGGACATATTAAACCACTTCGCATATGTGACATCTGTCACGCTATGGGGGAGGACTTGATGCATGGTCTCATTTCATGTATATATGCTAAAAATTTTGGATTGCAGCAAGGGATAGATTTAATCTTTGCCTGCCAAGGCTGCATGACCCAATCTCACCTATTGTTTCTTGGTGCATGGTGTAAGCCCTTGCCAGGAGTTTCCGACACATTCGTGGTCGAGCTACTGGCTATGAGAGAAGGGGTGATCTTCGCCCATTTGCGCGAGTATTCACATGTGATCATGGAGGTTGACTGCCTGGATCTTGTTAAACTATGGAACTCACATCAAAATTCATGTTTGATTGTGGCGCCTGTCTTACAAGAATTGGAGAATGTTATGCCTAGTTTTTTTTTGTTTTCGGTTCATCATGTTGGTAGGGACCTGAATTTCCCGGCCCACCAATGTGCTCAATGTGCTTGTACGTTTGAGGGTATGGATAGTTGGCTTGATCAAAGCCCAGATTTTGTCATTAGCAACCTACGGGCAGATTGTAACCAGATAATATTTCGTTGAATAAAGTCCCAATTCGATGGAATTTTTTTTATCCGCACCAGTGATTTGTGCTCCCACCACTAGTGTGCCTCTCAACTCTAATGTACTAGTAACTTGATCAAGTCAGAGAGAGTCGGTGCGGGAAAAATACAAGTCAAGTAACACGAAGAATCTGAATTCAGGAGGCCAACACGAAGAATCTGAATTCAGGACACGAGACCGGATAGTGTTGTCCTCCAGAAAGGACCTTGGTGATGCTCAACAAAGCCAGAGCCAAGGAAAACAACATCCACCGGCCAAACGCCCGAAATTCCACACTCCGGTCCGGTGAGACCCTTTCAGCCCGCGCATCGTTCGCTGTTCCGCGGCGCTGCCCACACCCATGATTTGACTCCCAACTGCAACGCCGCCGTCCGCGTCGCAGCAGCTGTCGTCACGGATCCGGCGGCCCCGACAGCGGCTGACGCCCCTCCACGTCACTCCCCGCGACAACTCGTGTGCTGTGCAGTCCCCGCGGAAAGCTCCCCCGCGTCCTGCGGGTCCCGCATACTACCGCCGTGCTGTCGTCACCTTCCCACCTCACCTCCCTCCTCCCTGTATATATCGGGCCCCTTCGCCTCCCCAAGCCATCACACAGACGCCCAGCCATCGTGCACACGAACCACACACCGGCGCAAGACAGGGAAAAGAGGGAAGGTCGGGAGCATCCACGTAGTGGTGCGCAATGTACCAAGCAATCCCCTACAGCAGCACCCGGCCCTGGGCCCGCCCGTCGCCGGCGGCGGAGCCGGCCGTGGCCGTCAAGGCGGAGACCGCGGAGGCGGCGGCGTCCCGGGAGGACGCGGCGGGGGTTGAGAGGGCGGTGTCGGAGAGCCCGGTCGTGGTGGTGGGGAGGCGGGCCTGCTGCCTCACCCACGTGGTGAAGCGGCTGCTGCAGGGGCTCGGGGTCAACCCCGCCGTGCACGAGGTCGCCGACGAGGCCGCGCTCGCCGGGGTCGTGCCGGACGGTGGGGAGGCAGCGGCGCTCCCGGCGGTCTTCGTCGGCGGGAAGCTCCTCGGAGGCCTCGATCGCCTCATGGCCGTCCACATCTCCGGCGAGCTCGTGCCCATCCTCAAGAAGGCCGGCGCCCTCTGGCTCTGATCGGACCCTTCCTTCCTTTCCTTAGTTTCCTTTCGTCAGAAGACGGTGCCGCGGTTTAATCCTGGCCGTCGGATCGAAGTTTACACCGCGGCCGATTTACTCTAGGATTTTGGGTTTCTTTAATGGTGTGCTAATTTTTTTCTCAAAAAATATATTTGTATGAGAAAAAAAGAAACAGACAGCTAGCGTTACTGATTTTGGTAAGTAATTTATTTCGTCTGGTCATGGGCATGTGAATGAGTACGGAAGAAGAGCGTTTGTCGTTTCTATTTCCGAGTTAATGAGAATCAGATGCTTCTTACGGAAATCTTCACCTGCGGCCTGAAATTTCATTCTCCGTTTTTTCAGTTAACAAGTTAGGCGTCTAGCTTTCGTTGGTACACGGACGCTTGATTCAAGTCATGGTTGGTTGTTGACAAGATTTATAGGTGGATGTTACTGCATACAGGTGGCATGGCTAACCTATGTCAATAGGGTATTCATGTGTGTACAGTACAGCTACCGATTCCATTCCAGTCCAACTGTTTCAGTGTTTAGTTGCGGATTACTAATAAACCATCCATCAATCAACAATCTTCGTCGTTTGGTTGCCCGTTTCTAACAATCTTTTACTTGCAATGCATCCGACTATGCTAGTCTAGGAAGGAGTAGGAAGTTGCATCATCATCAACAACTAGTCTTGGATTAGTCATCATACCTCTAGTCTAGTTATAAAACTGCAGCCAGCAGAGGAGACGAGAAGCGGTAACTTGGAAAACTAACCGGGAGGGGAGGGGAGGGGAGGGGAGGGCCGGCGCTGCGCAGGTCGTCATGATGTACCTCATGAAACTCCAGGGTCGTGTAGCATGTGGACAGGCAAGTGCGTAAGCAGTGATGGGATGGCGAGCCGGAAAAACGACCACAAAATGGCAGTCGCGCAAAGCAGACAAAATTAATTGCTCGTGCTGCCAAGGAAGGATGGAAGAGGAGGATTCAGACTTGTTCTCTCGTGAGTTTTTGCGCGGCTCGCGTGCACTCGGACGGGAGGAGAGGAGATGGATTCCGCACCCACCTGACCGCAGCCACTCCGTCAGCGACGGGTGGATCTGCACAAAAATCTCCTATCTTCTCTTCTCCCCGGGGGCAAAGGGAAAATCCGTTCTGATGTGCGTTATTCTGCTGCATGTACACGCTTCACTCTCTAATCACACGAACTGTCGCAGTCGCCTCTGTTCGGCTTCGCGCTGCTGCCGGCTCCCGCACGCGCTTCCTGCGATGACGGAGCCAACCGCGGCCCGGCCTACCTTTCTCTGCCATTTGAAAACCTTTGTGGAGAGCAAAGGGGGGAAGGAGGCGACAAAAGGGCGACCGATCGGGTTGGCTTTGTGGTCCGAGCGCAGCAAGGAAGGAGCAGGAGGAGACGCGTCCACGGGCAGCCACCAGACGCACGTACGTACGGATGCCCATCATGTGCGCCCCCAACGTCTTGCCGGCCGCGGCCGTGCCACTCGCTTCAACAGCGGCGGTGCTACATAGTAAATGTCAAATTAGAGCATCTACCGTCGGACTTGGCAATCCGACCCCTCCGGATGTGTCCATGGATACTGATCAGTCAAGCCTTAAATTTTCCTTCTCACAATCAAACACCTCAAATCCTCAAACAGCATACATCAAATCCATAAAACCTCATGCAACTACGTAATGATGCATTACACGCATGGTCCGGCTACTACATCATAATATGCCATCGGACTACCAAAACTTGACATGAGTAGATGGAATCCCGCTCTACCCTATGAAACCGTCCAAGTTACCCTATGAAACCGTCCAAGTTAGAAGAAAACCACGTTGTTTCCAGCCGTCCAACAACGTGGCCTCTTCGTTGTTCATGTACATTACACAATTTAAAACAAAAGGAATTTGTTTGGAAGCAAAATAAACGAACAAAAGACTTTGAATTCAAGAAGATTATTGAAAACTGAACTTCATTTTTTCTCTCTCTTTTTTTACAGAACATTAGAAAAAGAAAGAATAACTACTGCTTATTGGAATGTCACGGCCCTAGAATAATTGCTTGTACTTAGTTGCATCAGAAGCATACATACATCATTTTAAATTCAAGGAAATTGAGTTGAGGAAATTATTGAAGCCTCATAAACCATTTTAAAATGATCAACATTAAAAAATCTCTTCAAACAAGTCCAAGGAAATATCCCCGTTAATCTCTGAAATATTGGCAAGAGCTAAAATTCAAACCAATTTTTTTGGAATCTCAGAAATGATTATTTTTGGACTTTGAATTAAATCAATAATTATTTGAATTCGATTTATATTTGCTATGTATAAAATATAAATCCAATAATCCTGAAAACTTGTGAGTGGCTTTGAATATATTGTATCAAGCCACATAAATATTTTCATAAACTACTAAAATTATTTAGTCCGAAAACCAAATTAAAACAAACTATATAAAATAGAAAACAGTAACGAAATTAGAGAAAACACACACACACACACACACACAGCTCACCTGGCGCAGCCCACCTGGCCAGCCAGCCCACCAGGGGCAAGGAGGTCTTCTTCCTCCTCGCGCTAGAAGGACTGGGTGCGTGCCCGACGCACGCTCCACGCGACACCGTTTGTTAGCCTGTCTCCACGTCCACTCCGCGAATGACTTCACTCTTGCCGTCCAGATCGTTCTGAGCTCCTCGCCTTTTCCCCATCGCTATCCCCTCATGTAACGCCCTCGATGCGGCTATATCTCCTACGTGTCGAAGCACGACTTAGAGGCATAACCGCATTGAACGCAATGTCGCAAGTAAGGTAATCTTCACAACAACCCATGTAAATAAATAAAAGGGGAAAAGATACATAGTTGACTTACACTCGCCACGTCACACAAATACATGAATAGCATTACAATCATCCAATACACTCATGATCCGACTACGGTACCAAAATAAAGATCAACCCCCAAATGCGACAAAGTCCCCGATCGCCCCAACTGGGCACCACTACTGATTATCTGGGAAAGACACGTAGTAACGGCGAGAGTCTTCATCGAACTCCCACTTGAGCTCAAGCGCATCTTCTGGAGCGGTATCATCGGTCCCTGCATCTGGTTTTGGAAGTAAACTGTGAGTCACGGGGACTCGGCAATATCACACCCTCGCGATCAAGACTATTTAAGCTTATAGGTAAGGCAAAGGTATGATGTGGAGCTGCAGCAAGCGACTAGCATATATGGTGGCTAACATATTCGCAAAAGAGAGCGAGAAGAGAAGGCAAAAGCACGGTCAAACAACTATGATCAAAAGTGATCCTAGAACAACCTACGTCAAGCATTACTCCAACACCGTGTTCACTTCCCCGACTCCGCCGAGAAGAGACCATCACGGTTACACATGCGGTTGATGCATTTTAATTAAGTTAAGTTTCAGGTTTTCTACAACCGGACATTAAGAAATTCCCATTTGTCCATAACCGCGGGCACGGCTTTCGAAAGTTGAAATCCCTGCAGGGGAGTCCCAACTTAGCCCATCACAAGCTCTCACAGTCAACGAAGGATATTCCTTCTCCCAAGACAATCTGATCAGACTCGGCATCCCGGTTACAAGACATCCTCGACAATGGTAAAACAAGTCCAGCAACACCGCCCGAATGTGCCGACAAATCCCGATAGGAGCTGCACATATCTCGTTCTCAGGGCACACTCAGATGAGACATCCTACGAGTAAAACCAACCCTCAAGTTGCCCCAAGATGGCCCCGCAATCTACTCGGTCGGACCAACACTTAGAGGAGCACTGGCCTAGGGGGGTTTAATAAAGATGACCCTCGGGCTCCGGAAACCCAAGGGAAAAAGAGGCTAGGTGGCAAATGGTAAAACCAAGGTTGGGCATTGCTGGAGGAGTTTTATTCAAGGCGAACTGTCAAGGGGTTCCCATTATAACCCAACCGTGTAAGGAACGCAAAATCCGGGAACATAACACCGATATGACAGAAACTAGGGTGGCAAGAGTGGAACAAAACACTAGGCAAAAGGCCGAGCCTTCCACCCTTTACCAAGTATATAGATGCATTAAAATAAACAAGATAATATGGTGATATCCCAACAATAAACAATGTTCTAAAAAGGAACGATCTCCAATCTTCACCTTCAACTAGCAACGCTATAAGAGGGGCTGAACAAAGCGGTAACATAGCCAAACAACGGTTTGCTAGGACATGGTGGGTTAGAGGTTTGACATGGCAATATGGAAGGCATGATAAGTAAGTGGTAGGTATCGTAGCATAGGCATAGCAAAAGAGCGAGCATCTAGCAAGTAAAGATAGAAGTGATTTCGAGGGTATGGTCATCTTGCCTGCAAAGTTTTCAGAGTTGCCTTGATCCTCGTAAGCGAACTCAACGGGCTCCTCGTTCACGAACTCATCTCCTGGCTCTACCCAAACAAGAACAACAAGCAAACGGAACACAATCAACCACGTGCAATGCTCAAACAACATGATGCAAACACGGTATGATATGCGAGATGCGGTATGTGATGCATATACAAGATTTGACAAGAAATGATTGAACCTGGCCTCAACCTGGAAATCCAAGAGTGCCACTAGAAAGGTGAGGTGATTTCGGTTGAAATCGATATAAAGATCACCGGAATCGAATGCACGGTTTGGAAATGACAAGCAAAACAAATATGGCACCGGTCTGCGATAATCAGCAAGTGACCAACTAAATGCATCAAGATAGATATACTACAAAACTCAAACATAATAACAAAATACATGGCAGGGATCCACTCATGATGCTTGACAAAAGATGAACACTGAGCTACGACTAATTCATCAATTAACAGGTTCAAACAAGCATGGCGAAAGAGCAAATGATAACATGTTTCAGACTTTGTGAAATTAACACAAGTCTGGAATTTATCATCAGGAAGCACACTTTAGAGCATGAAAACTACATGCTACAGGAATTTAACATGGCAAAGCAAGGCATGGAATGAAGCTACTCAAAGC